TCAATTATTAGCAATGGATCTTATGTTAAACAAGTTTTTGCTGCTTGATATTTTAATGATCAATTTTAGTAAAACTAAAATTAAAAACTGGATTCTTTGAATAGAAAGTTCAAAAGACCACAATTTATTTGAGATAGAAAAATGTATTTTTTATTTATTATATTGTCATATAAATGTCTTTACTGTCACTTTGATCAATTTAATGTGTCCTTGCTGAATAAAATAGTCAATTTCTTCTTTTTTTAATCTACTTACTCTAAACCTTTGAATGGTAGTGCATCAAGGTTTCCAAAAAAAAAAAAAAATGACGCAGCACTGAACATTAAAAATGGGAAGAAATATTTCTTGAGCACCAAATCAGCATATTAGAATGATTTCTGAAGGACCATGTGACACTGAAGACTGGAGCAATGATGCTGAAAATTCAGCTTAGCATCACAGGAATAAATTATATTCTAAAATAGAAAACATTTCTTTTAAATCGTAATACTATTTCACAGTATGTAGGCTACTGTATTTTTGACAGAAATAAATGCAGCTTTGGTCAGCATAAAAGACTTCTTTTAAAAACATAAAAAAATCTTACCAACCCCAAAGCTTACTCCCATAAAAAAATATGGATTTTTTTTTATATCCTCTCATTAATACAAACCTGTTTCTAATTACCATTAAGGAACACCAGGATCAGCTATTTGTAATTTTACTGTAAAACTGTCACCTAAAAAACATGTTGAGGAGCCGATGCCACCCATTAAGCCCCTCGGCCCTCCATGCTGGTGAACACGTTCCACAGCTACGAACACTTCTGCCTCCCTGCATCTCAAACTCCACACAACGGAGACCGCTAGATGTATTTTCACTGGCATATTTTTTAATATTAGCTTCAGAAAATGACATTAGTATTTGCGAAGTAAAAGGAGTCTAAATGGGCCATTTCAGCCAGGGTAAACACATTTAGCAATGAGGTCAGAGGCTGCAGCAGTGGAGTCAAGCAAGTTAGATAATTTTGTCAAAATGTTTAACGTCCTGCTAAACCATTTGGGAAAAACAAGAGCGGCAGCTGCTGTTGACTTTGGCAGCCGAGTGTATACTCTAGGCTTTAAACACGTAAATCAAAATGCTCCATCTTCAAATGTAAGTAGACGTTTCATACCTGGTTAGTTGTAGGTCCTGGCAAATATGTTGCGTTAGATGGACGGCATAAAGCGTGCTATATGTGCGTACACATTTTTGATCAGGAACCCCCACTCTAATGACTTCCGCAAACAAGAAGACGGCCATTTTCTTAATGCTACGTTGTCAGCGCGACTGCATGAGGAAGCTCTTTTATTACAGCGGACACTTGACTTACTAGGTGGATAAAATACTTTTATGTTTCAAGTTCCACATATACTCATTACTTCCAAAAAAGTTCACGTCCACCTTCATCTCATGCTTTGTGTTTAATCTTACGTTTTCACAGACTTTGACCTTCAGCGTCAGTGAAAGGCAGAGCCTTGAATATGTCATCATGATCTTCAGTGCAATAGCGTATAGTGTTACATGAGTATCCCCTGAGCCGGTTCCGTTCAGCTCTCATTCCTCTCCAAGTAGCAGTAATTGTTTGTGGAGCTTTAAAACGGCTCGCTAATTTTCTTGAGCTTTTTTTTTTGTTCTTTCTGCGACCTGGAAAAACAGATCACCTTCCAGAGGGACAACATGACAACTCAATGTGCCCTGGGCACATTTCATGGGCGCTCGAGTATTTTTGCAAGAAATTGATGTATCCAATGGGCTTATACTAATATACATTGAATGAACTGTTAAAGTTTATACATGTTTTTGTTTTGCCTGGGTATTGAACCCACAACCTTGGCGTTGTTAGTGCAATACTCTACCAGTTGAGCAGACGTGAAGAGAAAAAAAACAGCAGAAAGAAAACAGCTCATTGTCGTTCAATAGAGTAATGCTGTTTACAAGTTCTTGAATAAGTTTCTATTCTCAGATGTGGGTGAAATTAGTTAATTTACTTAACACTGCACTTTTGCTTTCATTTAACTATGATAAAGAACAGAAAAATCTAATTTAAATCTAGTGCTTAAGAACAGATGTATTTTCTCTCCTTTTCTCTATCTCATTTCCAGCATTTCTGTTTGTCACTATACACATAGTGCGTCTTGATGACACATTGGATTTGCAGCTCTACTTTGCTGGTCCAGAGGGAAATCAGGGCTTTTTAATGGGAAACATGCCTCAGTCCTGTTGGGGACATATTAGACTTCATTGTATTCCTTCTCTGAGCTTTCCAGAACACTAATCACAGCTTGAGGACAGAGAGAAACAGAGGTGTGTTCGGAAATCTTTTTTGGAAACACGGTCCTGCTTTAATTACACAACACTGACACCTCCAAACTGGTTTATGTTGTGTTAAGGTGACATTGGTTCAACCTGGATTTCCAGGATAAATACACACTGAAGTCAGAGCAAGGGACGAGCATTAAATTCGTCGTAGGGTGTGTGCTTTGGGAGAGTGTTACAATGAAAACAAACGTTCCGTATGGACAAGGGAAAAATCTGCCAGTGGTGCTTTGGATAGTAAATAAATCCAGGCCCCTAAATCAATATGGTTCTTACACGCAGTAAAAAACACATTAGACGGCACAGACTACCAAAGAAAATCTCCTGTTATGAGAAAAACCTCACTGCATTGCAATATTAACAAGACCCCGGATGTGACTAGCTATTCCAAAGCAATAAGATGATATCAAGGAAGGTGCTTTTTTGTAGTTTACCAGTCTGTGTATTATTGGTGAAGATTTTTCAGAGACTCTTTCTGCAGGTTAACACCAGTGGCGACAAATGAGTCTTTGGGCCCTATCTTGCACTCGGCGCAAATGACTTTGTACACTGACGCATGTATCATTCCTATTTTGCACCCGCGCAAAGCGGACTTTTCCCTCCACAGACACACGTCGGTTAACTAAGAAATACACTTGCGCTCCCCGGGGCGGTTCAGCGCAAAGAGGAGGCGTGTTCCGGCGCAAACTTTCCCTCATGCTATTTTGCTGTTCTATAAAACAAATGCGCCACTGACCAGAAAAAACCTAGTCTAAAGTCAGTGGCGCGTTGCGCGTTGTTCATTATGCTATTTTAAGGGCGCATGCTTGGCCATAATCAATGTAGCGTGTGCACAACGCGCATACACTTTGATTCTTTCATCTAAGCAGCAGTTTTCATTTTTGCAAATCATACATTATTACGATAGATAGATAGATAGATAGATAGATAGATAGATAGATAGATAGATAGATAGATAGATAGATAGATAGATAGATAGATAGATAGATAGATAGACAATTTATTATAAAAGCATACATGTAGCTTACACATTTACCCAAATTATCATACGCCTGTTTAACAGAAGTTAATTTGGGTGGGTTTCTCAAACTTTCTCCATCCCCAATGTCACTTCTCTGTGTTTTACGGCCCTGACGAGAACGTTGCTCTCCTCGGCTGTGAACCGCTCCTGGCGCGCGCCTGGCAAATCCGCCGTTATAATAGGAATCCGCTTTAGAACAAGCGCGCCTGCTCTTAAAGTGAATGTGAGATGACGCTCTGATTGGTTTATTTCACGTTACGCCCAAACCACACCTATGAATAATGAAGCTACTTCAGACCAACCCCTTTTAGATTTGCGCCAGGCGCAAGAGGCATTTATCCCGCCGGGAAAATAGCAACAGCGCCGGGATCCGCCCACAAAGTTACTTGCGCTTTGCGCTTTGACACTTGCGTTTCAGATCGTTAAAATAGGGCCCTTTGAGTGAGTTTGTAAACAACAGTCAATGAATCAATTGAACAGATTTAGTAAAAAACACTATCAATCTTTTTTTTCGACCAGAAAACAAAGTACACATGTTTTTGCTCTGCCTGGGTATGGAACCCACAACATTGGCGTTGCTATAGCGCAATACTTTTTCTTTAGGAAAAGAGCACATACTTTTAGGGCATAGTATAAATAGGCGAATTGAGCATTTATTCAGGAACAACACAAGTGAGTATGTCAATTAATCACTTACTCAATGATTCATTCAAAAACAATGATTCATTGTTTTTGTTCATGATTCAAAAACAGTGGCTGAATTCGCAATAACATACTAGCATGCTACTTACTTTTTGTGCTTTATCTTTAGATGGAAAGAATAGTAATAGTAAGCTAGTATTCTATTCTGAATTTGGCCACTGATTCATTCCAGACACAAACAAGTGACCCTGTCTTTTTGAGTGATTCAATTATTCAACTCAAATGATTCATTCAAAACACTGATTCATTCAGGAATTAGACAAGTGACAATCTTTATGAGTGAGTCAACTAATCATTTACTCACTGATTTGTTTAAAACCACTGATTAATTCTAGATCAAAACAAGTAACTGTCTTTAAGAGTGAATCAATGAATCATTCACTCAACCAAAAACAGAGGCTGGATTCAGCATAATAGCATACTACTTAGTATCATATGTTTTTATGGCAAAGACAGTAAGAGGAGTATGCTACATTATTCTGAATTCAGCTGAGGATTAATTCTTAGAAAAGAAATAAGTAACTGTCTTTCTGAGTAAGTCAACGAATCATATTAATTCAAAACACTGATTCATTCAAAAATGAAACAAGTGATTAATGAGTGAATCATTATACAGTAATTTTTAATTAGATTAAAGTATAATCAACATTTTTTTGTCACTTGTCAGACATCTTGGATGGATTGCTCACAGAGCATATTGCAATGAATTGTGGGATTGCCTTTTCCTAAAATGATCCACGCAATGCTGACTTAGAATTTGGTCAAAAGAGTTCAGAACAGCCTTTTTGTCAGAGCCACTTTAACAATGACTACAGTGATATCTGTAACTGTGATGACAACCGTTATCCAATCTGACATCATCTTTATTGATCTCATCCAACCTACGTCTATGTCAGAGCAATTGGGAGTAAACGTGATGCTCGGTGGGATAGGTACTCACCCTTCCCGGGTGTTCTCGAGGCCAGACAGCGGGGAGAGATGGTGGGGGCTGCCAATGTCGCGGTCCAGGCGGGGCTGCCTGGGGGGCAGGTCAGGTCCAGAAGAGAGCAACTCAAGTGGGGCTCCATTGTGTGTCGTGCTGGAGCCGGCGTACAGGCCTGGAAGACAAACAAAACTAATGTGCAAAACATGCCTGATAAACCTCAAGGAGCCCTCAAGAACGGCACATTGACCAAATTATATCCCCACAAAACAGCCCTTAATGGCAACAAGCGCTTGTTATGACAACACAAAACTCACCAAGGCCTTTGGATGAATTTAAATGTTCTGTGCTGTTAGCAATTTACGATACATAATTTATGTTGCCGTGCGGAATGGATTTGATTGACTATTGCTATTTTGAACAAATCTTTGACAGATCGGATACATTTGAATGGAACGGCAGAAATAATAAGTAGAGACAGATCTACTGTAAGCTACTTGCATTGAAATGAATGGAACAGGTGGGCTGGATCTTCAGCCAAGGACACAGAACCTTGAAGCAAAAAAAACAGAAGATACATCAACTCCATCCACAGTTTATAATGGAAATAACAGACATAGATCAGGTATCCAACTGGTCCAAATGTCATCCCACCATAGATTATACTACTGTATGCAAACCAGGCCAGATGAAAATGATAGTTGCTCGTCCTGTAAAGGGGCTTCTTCCGTCCCCGGGCTTCTTGTGCAGCCTGAGAGACTGACAGGCGGACACTTTTCCCGGTTGCTCCGGCTGTTAATGTGTTCCTCTGGATTTGCCCAGTAATTGTTTTCCCAGAAGCCCTCTGTGCTTTGACAGTCCTCAGCGGCTCGTCCTAGCACCCCTTCTCTTTGTTTCTTCTCTTCCAACTGCTTTACAGTGGAAGCGGGGCCTATCTGACAGTTTTCTGAACTGGTTACAAACTTGATTCATTACCCGAAATCATCAATCAAAGTCCTTAAATGCTTTCCCCTTTAGTCCTAACATCTGCTACCAGACTGGGAAGCATTCAACAAGTAATGGCCATGATTGCTTTAGTTGTTATCTGCTGGAGAGATGGGAGGGGGAGTCCACCAGGAGGCAGAATCAGATTCTAATGGCTGAGAGTAATTGGGAATTTCTAGATAATATATATATATATAAATATATAGAATATAAGTGTATTCGTGTGATATAATTTGTAGTAAAAAATATACATAATGAAACACAAAAATACATCAAATATATAGTATGATATAAAATGTATATATATATATTATTTTATCACAATATATAATTAAGTCATGCAAAGCATACTGTATGCCACAGAGAATGCACAAAATTGTATGTAACAGCCAGATGCAAACCTACACAAAGGCACAGGACTAGAGCGCACTTTATACGTGCAAATTACGAAATGACGGAGGTACCCGCTCCCTGCTTTGCTTTGCCTTTTCTACTGGCCCCGGAACAAAGCATAGGGAGAGGCAGAAACATCAGGAACATTAAATGCAGGCATCTTGGCCAGACCCAACCACAACTTCTCCTCTAAACAAGAACAAACAGCCACAGTAACATAACAGGTCCTTCAGGCTAAAGACATTTGCACATTGAAGCAACAACTTATCTCCTTTGAACTGAGCGAATGAGAGACGGTGTAAGCCAGGACGCCTATTTTCCCCTGGCACACGTTGGGGGGGATTTAAGCTGTTGCAGTGCAAAGTGTGTTTTGTACAAGGATGCTTGAGAGATGGGGAGTTCTGCAATTGTCCTTCAAATTACCCTCGCACAAACATTTAGGATCTGTTCTACATTCTTCTTGACTGAATCGCTGCTCTTAAAGGAATAGTTCACACAACATTTTTTTTGTCACCATTTACTCTCATGTACAATGACCGGGAGGGGACATGTTCAGTTCATTTAGTTTTGTCGTGGCCACAAGATCATTTTGTTGAGGTAACGACATCCTTATGTTGTGGCCACACGATGTGAAGTCGTGGCCTGAAGATATAACATTGAGGGAACGACACTGTGGCAAGCAGTGCGGGGACGAGAGCCGTGGGACGGGAGCGAGGCTGGTGGAGCGAGTGCTAATGAGCGGTCTCGAGTCTCCGGCTCGAGTATCAAGGAAGAGCTCCAGGAGGATAAAAGGAGGAGTGACAACAGTGCAAGACAAGAGAGGACCAGGCCTGGACTTTACGTTGTGTTTTTATTATTAAAAGTTACATTGATCGTTTGACAGTTTCCGCCTCCTTCTTCCCTGAGCCTTTAAACCTCATCTATTTCTCGTGGCCACAAGTTTAATGCATAAACAAACCTGCATGACCATAGAAACCTTGTATTTTCACAAATGGATATTATTAATAAATTAATATTTTATTTTGAATTAAGATTGACAAAAGTGTGGAATTAAGAAATGATTAGCTATATTAACCTATATTATAGGTCTACTGATGTTGCCTATACAGCATTCAAATGAAGTTTGTTATTATCAATACATGTTAAAAGAATGTGTAAGAATATAAAATAATAACATTTTTATCCATACCATCCAACAGTTTTTTAATCAATCATTGTTATGTATTTGCTTTATTTCCTCCTTCATTTCATGTACATCTTTTTACCTAATTAATGTTCTGGCCTACTTAAAGTAGGCTATGGCTATGTATTTTGTAAATACTGTAAATGCCCGGTTCATGCCAATAAAGTTTTGACTGTATTTCTGTAGGCTTAGGCTACACCAGTATGAGACGATAAATGAGTGTCTGTTTTCATTTACAAATCTAGCCCCTTGTGTCAGTGACAACATTCAAATAAAGTTCGAATAATTGGTTATTTATTGGGGGAGGGGGGTTATTGTGATTTTTCTAATACAAATACCAATTTAAAATGTCACATTTGAAAAAATAAAAAGTATGATGTGCTTGTTTGTAGGTATGTACAATTTGTGATTATATATATAAAAATGACTAAATTAATTGTATTTATTATTGAAAGCATATGAAAAGGATGATAACAGAATTTTCATCCCTTTAGTATTCCAGGCCTTTTCATGAAATCTCCTCTGCTAACTATTGCACCACAGTATGTTCAGCATTTTGACAAGAACAAGCCAAAGAACAAGAAAAATGACTAACAGGGAGGACTATAACTACTGTGGTTTAACTAATGCAAAACAAACACAAAACAAAACATGCAAAGCCTTCACCTCTGACCTCCCTCTCTAAATCAAAGAGTCATGAGTTATAGCTGGGTATTTTAAGGTAAGTGTCCTCTCCTCTAGCTCCGATTTAGTGTCAATTGCATAACATTGAAAGTAGCATGGGAAAATTGACATCTAACGCAGATCGTGCATTACAGCTGTTTGCAATATTATCATTCATATGGTCTTCATAACATTACAATCCCCTTTATTCTGTCATGTCCATTTGAGCTGTTAAATCGTAGCTTATTGGTTTTGGATCACATAAATGGTTCTGCAAGTGAACGTACACTTAAACACATCTGGGTTTTGGTACATTCTAGGGTGGAGGGAACAGTCATCTACCCATCTCTACAAAACATCCCAGGATACATAAATTAGACAGCACATATGCTCCTACAAAAACAAGCTGTAATGGAAGCTATAGACCAAGATATACAATCATTTCTCTCAATGTTTGGAAAGCAGCAGTTAATCTCCAAGATAAAGTATAAAATTACAATCAACATAATCTTTAAAATCATTCATATAATGATTTAAATACATTTCAGATTACTGTAAAAATATTAGTATTAGGATTATTTAAACATATTTGGAACTAGAACTAGATTCTGAAGAAAATATGAGTGGTGACTGTCTAAAACTCACTATCACAATGATAGGGTGTGCTATGCGGTTGCTGGGGTGTTCTGGGTAATTGCCTGGGCATTGCTAGATGGTTGCTAGGGTGTTCTGGGTGGTTTGTTAGTGGTTGCTTATAGGCCAAAAGAGCAGACGATGAGATATTTTTCCCCCGATTTTCAGCAGGCAAAAATAGTTACAAGCCACTTGACTTGAGCTATCATTGTGGTCATGGTACAAACAGAGCCTGCACCCAAGTTTAATACTCATGGTATGAGGAAAAATAATAGTGATGCTTGTTTTATCAAGCACCACTAATTACAAATATAATTTGTGATTCTTTGTGCCACATCCACTTCACACCGCTATCAAAAGAAAGTGCGAAAGTGCCTATAGAGTGGTGGATCTCAACCTTTTTTTAGTTGGTTTTAATTGTTTTGTCTAAATTTAAATAATTTGAAATCATCTTGAGGCCCCCTAGATATAGAGGATAAAGTAAGCCTTACCTGTGTATATTTCCTGCCCGAGTGCTGGGGAACGGCCTTCTTTCCCATTCAAAGAGTGCTGAGAGGTGGCAGGGCAGTGGGATTGCTGGGAAGGGGCGGGGCCATGCAGATGCTGGATTGACAGACATTCACTCAAAGCATCTGATTCTAAATGGGGGCAGGCCCTTAGCTGTCAATCAAAAAGATAAAACAACATATGCAAGATTAGAGATACATATATCAAAGCATGATGTATGTATCTCTCCATGTTGAAAGAATGAAATCACATTAAAAACCTGTGTGAAACAAAAGTCTTCAATTAAAAAAACGTAAAAAGAAACAAACTCATCGCTGACATGCCCCATCGGCCAGCGCAGGAAATGAAAAGCTTAGAGAGAAACAGTTTTTCACCACAAACAGGAACCTTTGATTGGAAACATGAGGGGATGAGGGGAAGGACATACCCCACATCCACATCCATCTCCATCGTCAGTACAGGTTGGGACGCTACGTTATCGGCTTCAGAGAAGCGGAGAGGTCTTTTTTGCTGGTGAGACTAGCATGCAAGACTGATTTTTCTCTTCATAAGGCTACAAAATCAAACTTCTGGGAGTAATCATGCGTTATATGTCACATTTGTGTAGAGTTTGGGGAGTCATATGTGTTTAGGACTATTAGACTGAATTTGAAAGCTTGGATTGTAGCATGGAATTATGTTTAACTGGAAAATCATCTTCGGTCACATGAACTCGTGTTGAGTGGACTGAATCTGGAGACGATACCTCGCAATAAACAATAGCCCGAAATGAGCCGTGACATGCAACTTGAAAGTGTTATGTCATTATAATTCCACTGCAATTAAGATTTTCAAAACAAAAGCTCACAAACTTGCAAATTAGAAATAAAACAAACACGTCTTAATTGCACGCAAATGGGCTGCAGTTCTCGAATATTACGAAAGAGCGCAAACCGCACGTTTTCCAGTTGAGATCCTTGTGCAAAACTCCCAGGCATTCGTCAAACGTAAAAGGAGCTTCGGTGCTTTGCCGCAGCTTGCTATAACAGGCGTCGCTCGCGATAGATGGAGTGGGAGTGTTTGTTTGACATCAACCCACAACATCTGGCCACTGGGGTATAGCGCTGCACAGCTTATTAACAATGGTACACGCTCACATGTGTTTCCGCTTACAACGGCAAGCAAGAAGAACGCATCAGTCAGCTGTCGTTTAGACCAGTGCAACAATGAGGCCATTCTGCTTATAATTACCCACTTTAATGAGGAATGCACTCTTCACCATGTAGATGCTGAAATGTGGTCATAGTTGATCTATTGTTGGGGAAATCATTTTCAAAAGACAATCCTAAGTAGAACCAACTGCACCAAGCCATGAAAAAGACACAATTGACCATGAAAAATATCTACTATAAAAGTTTCTCAAGGCCGATGGCAGGAGCCAAAGAGATCATTTTACTCTGATGTTCTGATGAGATTATTTGTACGGAGGAAATAAAGAAAAGAATTCAGATAGTTTTTATCCTTACCTTCCTACGCACCTGCTGCTCTTTGGCAGAGTGGATCTTCACATGCTTGCGGAGGGAACTGGGGTCTGTGTAGCGTTTAGTGCAGCCTGGGATCTGACACGCATATGGTTTCTGAAACAGGAAATGCACAAGGAGTCAAAGAATCATAATTATACGCAAGTCAGCCACAAAGAGGACATGGAAACACACTGCTATGGACACAAAGACATTAATCATTACATTATGTCAGCATTCATAATTGATAATAATAGTTTATATGAGACATTAAATACAGTGCAGAACATTTATGAACAGACATGGAAAATAAAAATACATGACAATTTAGACAAGCAACTATTTTGAACTCTCAAAATAAACATTCAGTTTTTAAGATTGAAAGTCTATGTAAAGTCACTAGTTTTAATACAATTTCTAAATATAAAACAAAAAAGTATGATTCCATGTCCACATTTAAAATCTGGATTTTTTATTTTTTTTTATTTAAACATGGAAATAAATAGAAGGTTTTAGGAATAAGGAAATATTATGTAAAATTAATAAAAAAAATATTTAATATTCTGAGCTATTTCTAGGTTAAAAATATTTTTCTTTCTTTATTTAAAAGTATTGCATTCAATCAGAAAATTAAGCATTTTTACAAGTAGACTTTGAAATCCACCGAATACTTTTTTTTTTCTGTAATCAGCCTTAATATTTACACTTTCAAATGGACAAACACAAGTGCAATAACTGCTTATTTTGAGAGTTAATAAATAGTCAAAGTTCAAGAGGAAAGACAGTATCCTACCTTTCAGCTGAGAGGACACAGGAAGAGGAAAGAAGAATACAGATAGTTCGGTAAATGTGCAGGTATACAGGTTCTGTACAAACACTTACAATGGTTTATTTATGTTATTTTGCACATTTTATCAACGTTGAAGTGTTGAAACGTGCGTTTTCACATAAATATCAGTGTACACATGATTCTCACTGGCAAACTTTACTGAAACACACTCTTACGCTCCAAAACATGCAGAGGTGATTTTCTCCCATGCATTTTACACTGCTCTTTTTTTCTAGAAAAGAGGCAGTCATTAAAGTGAAAGTGGATAGGCTTCCTTTATTAGCTCTCCTTTCCTACCTTCCCTCGTTCTCTAAATAACGCTGTTTTTACAAGCCGCTCGCAGGGCAGCTCGTCTCTGCGCATTTATTTGTTTTCACTGTGCAATGCCATATAATCCCCCTGCCGTCTAAACGCACCAAAAACAGAAAACGAGAAAGCTTAGGAATGGAAAAAAGAAAAAAGGCCGTCAAGAATAAATATCATTACAGTTGGAGGGATTTTTTCACTGTATATGAGGCGTGTGGGAAGGCTGTGACAGGGCGCATAGGCAAGTTAATGTGTAGCACTGGGCATCTGGGGTCGAGGGTCTTATTGGCTGTGGCAGTGTGGCAGTGTGGCAGTGTGGCGGTAGCGCGGTGCGGGAGCTGTACTGCGATGTGATACAGCATCGGGTTCTGCCAGTTAGTGAGAAATGACTAGCTCAAGCTTTCCCTGACTTTTATTTTTCCTCACATGGTTGGAGTGGGATGCAAGACGTGCTTGCCTCTCTCTGCCATGTGTCGTTGCTATCACAAACGGAGCGTGGTGTTAAACGGTGTATGATATAACGTGTTTCCCCTCATCAACCCATAGAGACATAACCGTATGTATGTTTTGTGCATGCAAAATTAACATTTAGGTCAAAGAAATGCAGCAAACAGCACATTTACGGGATTGTTTGTAAGGTCCATTTGGATGGGAACTTAAGTGGTTGGGACTTTTGCTCTGAACTTAAAAGGTCCTCCATGGATCTCCCTTTAGTTTAGTTTAGGAGAGGCTAAATAAGTTCAAATACAGTCTGAATAATCTTTTGAAAAATAGTTAACAATACTACAAGCTAATAACAAAATCACATAACACATTTTGGAGCATCACATCACCTATGTAAGAGAGCAATACCTTTTTAAAAACTGTATATAAATGGTACTGTATAAAATGTTTTTGAACAACAACAACAACAACAACAAAAAAACTGTAACACTCCCTATATTATATACTGTAAGATAATTGAGAAAATGTGAAGAACAGCAGCATTTACCAAAATATAAAAAAAAAAAGTCTCATTTTTTTATGAATCTGTTCATTAACATGAATGTGTCCAAATGAACCAATTCACTACAATGAATCAGAGTATCCAATGCTATATATGAGATGACTATTTAGGATGAACCGAATCACCAGAATAAATGTAACTCCATGTATGACAGTTAGGACAGATAAGGACAAACCGATTTACTAGAATGAATGAGTTTCCAATGCTATAAATAAGAAAGGACCATTTAGAATGGACCTAATCACTGAAATAAACTTTTGATTAGAATAACTTTCCAACTCAGTATATGAAAAGTGATGACCTTTTAGGATGAACCAATTTAATATGAGTCAAATTTTCAGTGCTATAGAGAGAGAATAATTTAGACTGAAATGTATTAGAATAAATCAGACCTTCAATACTAGAGTGATTATGAGGGTGATTTATTCTAATGAAGTTTTCTTTTAAGATGATTCTAAAAACTGTAGCACTTCTTGTAACTACTTAATTTATTTAAATAAAGTCAGTAGCATGACTACAAGTTTGTATTTTCCCAACACTGCTAATTTGTATATTAAGGATGGTGTCAGTAAAGAGCAGTGTTTGTTTTCGTGTGTTTTGAAGCACTTCGGGGTTGAGTAGGAATGAATGTATTCATGTACTCACAGTGTCCAGGTGTGTGCGCTGGTGCTTTGCCCTGTCGCTGGAGTTGCTGAATGCTTTCTGACAGCCCGGGTGCTGGCACAGGTACGGCTTCTCTCCTGTGTGACTCCGCAGGTGAATCTTCAGATTCTCCAGCCGCGAAAAAGCTTTGTTACATCCTTCAAACTGACAGAGAGACAACAACAGTAATCTTTCTCGGAGGACGATGTCTTATAAGGCATTGCCTTTAATTTGTGCATGAGTGTGAACAATGCATTCAGATAAACATTTGAATCAGAAAAGAAATTCAGATTCGTTAGCTCATTTTCATGGTCTGGCCAATCAGAATTCTTTAAAATTACAGACCATAAACGACTGACTACTACGCCACGCCCCTTCCAACTACACTTTCTCCTAAAGTCATCACAGGATGGTCCTCTGCAACCTGTCTGTCTGTGTAATGAGGCATTGGACACATTGATAGAACATGTTGTCTTGTCATTTAAGGGCCTCAAACATTCTATACAACCCTATCTCTTAGCTCCGCCCCAAAACATCCACAGCCCACCAATAAGGAGCCTCGGATGAGACAGAGTGGCAGCTTATGGAGGTGTCAGAGACAGTGTAACCTGACATGGCAGCTTTGCTCTCTATTGTCCACTGACCTCTAACTGAGGCCCCCGCTTCTATCGCAGCTCCAGTTTCACTGAAGGAAAGAGCCTTCCATTCTTCTAATGGGCTCTCAGAACATCATTCGGGCTCTGGCCTCCTTCAATCACTCGCAAAGGGCTTGCTATTGAGGCCAGGCCATTTAATACGGGGCGAAACCTTAGACTGCCACGGTTGGGATATATTGAGTGACCTGGATTATACAGTGTGTGTATCTGTGTGTGCATGAATTCTTATATGACACATTAAAAAAATGTGGAACAAGCAAAAAACTCAGTCAGGTACATTACAGGGTCACTTTCACACATTTACACACACAGGAAAAAAAAAACTGAATTAGCATTTTTATTAGAAAATAATAGTGCATCAAAGGTAATAATATGTTCTATAGAACAATAGAACGGTACAGTGGTTCAGACAATTGCTTGGGGGTTTTGAACATTCAGACCCCACAAGTTGTGCCTGTATTATTCAACAACATGAAAACATCTCTGAATATACCCACAACACAGAACTTAAAGTCTCAGAAAACTGTGCAAGCCATACTCACATATCACACCAGAGATATATGTCGTGTGCTGACTCCTAAAATACTTGAGTTTTCAAAACAAACACCGCGAGTATATGTATGTCCCAAAATGTGTCTATTTATGTATAGGGGAAATAATAATTCTTTTGCTGCTTTCTTTAAATGTAATACAAATTTCAGGCTAAATTGAATTTATAGGTCCGCAGAGAGAAGCCTGCTAATCGTGTAAAGCCCGCCATTAGTGTGAGGATTGGCTGCCAATGGAGAGAGGTGCGGAGCATGCTGGGATACCTCACAAACAAAGCAAAGCATTCTGGGATGCCATGCAAACACAGCCATCTGCCAGAGTTTAATCCATTTGACCGGGAGGAATTTCTTTTTCTCTCTTAATGTCTCTTTTTGTCTCTCCACTTTTTTATGTCTCTGGCATTTTATTTTTCTATTTTTGAAGACCATAACATTCTCTTTTATATAATAGCATTTGCCAAGTACAGAACATTCTTTTCCAAATAATTCTAATGCAACCAGTTTTACAACTGACGACAACATCTATCAAAACATCCCCAAACGTAAACCGAGGAATGTGAAGTTTCTGAGATACAAACAGACGTTCATCATGAAAATCTGAGAGAAAAGTGAGACTCCAAACGAACTAAATATATGTTGCATTTTTAAACCGCTATAAACCAACCATGACAGCTCCTAAGTCTCAACTACCCTTTGATTTTATTTGCAAAAACAGTTTAGCAAGCTAATCACATTAATTGGCATAAACGTGTTTAGCTTTCCCCTCTGAAGGCCTGTGTGAGGGTAAACAGAGTGATAACCCTCGAAAGTGGATTGTGGTAAGTCATTTGACGCCATCTTTCCGAAGTGGGCCTCAGGATCTGCCGTATACACACAGAGTGACAGTTCGGGTTGACATATGTGTCAGGGGCACAGAGCCAATCATGGATGATTGCGGGCCGCAGAGGCCGCTCAACCTCAACCTGATGACTATATGGGAAATGAAGCGTGATTGCGGCAGAAAACGTCCAACGAGGCATCGGGCAACTAAAAGCCCGTAGTGTACACAAGCACTCGGAAGAAAAAACAGTTCATTAATACCCTTAAATACCTGCAGAACACAAGCCAGCCATTATGGCACATTTTTCTGCGCAAAAATAAGGCCATGTCGCTTAATGACGTCACACAGAGCTCTGATGGAGTGACTTGGATTGAGAGGAAGAGAAAATTTGCTTATTATGGGAATTGCATTCAGGCCACATTCTTTCCCGTGGAGTCAAAGGTCCACTGCTGTTCCCGTTAACATTCGGAGGTGCTCTGAAACATAAAACATATTTCCCCATTATACTGTAACTACCAATCTCACCTTCCCTCAGGCATGCGTTTATTCAGACATTAAAACCTTTAGCAACTAACAAGCATTAAATACATTATTACTCATAATTAGTGGGCTTAAAGGCAAATTTTAATGAGCACCATGACTTCTTTTCTTACAGCCAGACACATTTTTTGTAATTCGCTGTGACATTCAAATTGCCTCAGCGCTCTCAGATATGCAATACAGGGTCTGTCTGCGGGTTATGGTGATGTTCTGTGATCAGCATTTGTACAAATCGATTCTGGTTCCTGTTGGAGAACGAAAGGTGTTACGAGGTTTACCGCTGAGCGCCTGAAGTAACTGTGACCTGTAAAAGAGAAACCGCCGACACGTCTTTCGGCACGGAGAACAGCGGAGCTCAGATGGAGTGGCTAAAAACTACAGGCGAAAGCGAACATGTGCCTTTAATCTGCCTGTTTCCAAATGCCCCCTGGCAACCACAGCAAAGAGCAGAAAAACGTAAATGGATGAAATTATATCCATATGATTCAATGAGACAGCTAAGGGGAGACAGGTTTCTCATGCACTTCATCAGGGTACAAAATTAAACACAGCTTAGCTAAAACATTCGCATTACATAGTTTACACATTTCATTTCCACATCCAAACCCCACTCGTTTTAGCAGCCAACTTCATCTGTTGCTAATAGGAGGCTTAATATGAATCAAAGATCTGGTTAATTTCTCTCTCTCTCTTTCTCTCTTTTGGAACGGCACTGAAGGAAATTCACTTTCGATTATTCTCAGGAATCTTTGATTTTTCTTTGTTGCTCTTTTGCCCGTTACTTTCAAATTTCAAAACATTTAATTCATACCTAATGTGATGCATACACAAATCCTCAGCTGACAAATGTTGTCCAGATGGGATCGAAGGCTTGGCCGATAAACCGGTGGAGGAAGTAGTCATGTAAATGACTAGCAAAATTGCTCCGAACAGCCTTTTTTGTTCTCATGCAACACTGGTTAAACCAGATTGAAACCTATGTAGACTGTAGATGGGACCTTCACAGGAAGCAACCTATGATGACTAAATTGGGCCTCTCACATAGTCATTACGCACCCCCCCCCCCCCCCCCCTCCCCCCCCCCCCCCCCCCCCCACCTCACTCTGAGCAACGTTTTTGAAGGAAATTGAATTGAAGGTGTATTATGGATTCTGACCTCGCTGCTATGGAAGTCAAACATTAGCAACTTATGCTACATGTGGGAATCCTGAACTAGAACATGGAGGAAACATATGGATCTTTATGGGAGCACTTAACCCAGAGTCGTTCTGGGGCGTACCGTCAAAGTGTTACCAGCCAGAAGATATAGTGTCTACCAAAACTAGCTGTGATCTTCTTTTGACCTATAGGAATAGATTCAGATTTACAGAGGGAGAAACGAGTGAAGGTCCTCTTCCAGGTCAACTGTTGCTTCCACATGTTCTCTTGCTTTCTAAAAGCCTTTAACTTGTAACTCCAGCATGAATGTTCTCTGGCATCCCTCGCTTGCTGTATTCATTTGAATTTATGACTAGGTGGTCGCTCATGCTCATTAATACAGTACATCCTGAAAACAGATTAGTGTACGTAATCTAACATACTGTACAGTACCTGTAAGCACTCTTCTGAAATGCATGGCCATGTTTCAGGCTACATACCAACATAATCCATTCTGATTGTTAAATAGTGGTTGGCATTGTATGGAATGGATTTTCTTTCTTTTAAAATGCCAGATTCTATTGAAACAACGTGAGGGATATGCAATGTGCTGCTGAAAATTCAGCTTTGCCATCACAGGAATAAATTATATATTAAATATATTAAAATAGAAAAGAGTATTTTAAATAGTAATAATATTTTAATGTATTTCAGTTTTTACTGTATTTTTGATCAAATAAATACAGCCTGGTACAGAATCTTATATCAAAACATAAAAAAAATTCTTACTGACCCCAAACTTTTGAACACTTACATACTGAATTCTGTTATTTGATTTGAATTGAACTAAATTGTCAGAATATGTTACACAGAATATTTGATTTAGTCTTGTACATTAGCAAAACTATCATTTATACGCACACAGATGCAGACATACATTTATGATACATATTCAGCAAAAATAGTTGTCGTCACAGGAAGAGGGTAATTTACCCCATTGCTGATTTTTAATTTTGTGCCATCAAAACTAAATAAGCAAAAGTTTCCATTTATTTTGCTTAATAAAATATTGGATGATGCATCCTGCACATGCTAAAGACATCACTATTAGTACTGTAAAGGCACAGTGTTCTTCTTAAGTGGGCCATCTTCCCTCATATTACCCTACATATTACAGGCCTAAAGACCTGGCACCATTAAATTAGTGTCAAATTTATTTAATCCGTGTTTTCTTTGTTAAACCGAACACCAAAGAAACCAAACAGCATTCTCGGTTTCCCTGGCCGCAAAGCGCTGATGGACACCAAGCACAGTCTGTCACTCCAGTAACCGGCCTCTCACTCTCTCCGTTCTAAGCATCTCTAATAGCTAATTAGAGAGTATTACACTCGCCCCGATGCCTTTACAATACCACCGAGCCATCAGTTATCTCCCCGTTTCGTGCAACATGAACCAGGGCACAGT